TAAATCTTTTTAATTCACTTATCTTACTAATTTAATATCGTTTGTAGAAATTTCAAAATTTTAAAAAAATTTGAAAATCTCAAGCCTCACCTGAATACTCAATTCTTAAATTTTTTTTCATTTTGACTGAAAATTTTTACCCTTTACCCTTTTCATATTACGAGTATTTACCCACATTATTAAGGTTTTATATATTTTTTGCAACTGCTAGTTAAATTATAGGTTTTTCATTTTTCCTTCAAATAATTAGTCAAAATTCGAGAGAATTTACAATTTGATTTATCAAATTCAAATAATGTCTTTTCAGTTCCAATAAGATTTAAAATTTTAACTGACTACTAATTAAAAACTAGCTTTTTTAATTTAAAATTTGAGAATCGACAAAAAGACAAAACTGAGAAAAAATTACTTAAGTTTTTTCCTTTTCTCCATTTTAGAGCTTCTCTCATTTTTTTCAGTGTTGTCAAGTAAAATCTTGAATCTTTTATTTTTTCAAAAACTTTTACTTAAACATTCTTATACATTTTTCTATTATTTCATCATTTTATATTTTTATGTTCACCAAAAATATTGAGGTTGAGAAAAAATAAAGTTGGAACTGAAAATCGGGTTTTTTATTTTTGAAAAATTTTGAGATTTCCGATAGGGATTTAGAAATTCAAAATTAAAAAAAAAACAGTTATCTAATTTTTTTTATCAACTATTTATTTTGAAATATGACCCCTAGAGCTTGTAGAGCATATCTGACATTTTTAGTTTTGACTAAATATATTTTTTTCTTTTTTTTTAAACCAAAATTGCACAATCTAAGACGCAGATCAGGTTTTCGAAAATTTTCATTCTCACATTCGTTTGCTGACTTTTTTATGTTGAAACTCAAAATCTTCAAAATTTTAAAATTCAAAATAGTGTCTTCAGTTCAAAGATTTCAAATTTTACCTGAAAAATTGAATGAAAAATTTGAAACTCAAAGTTTACTCTAAATTTATTTTGAAGTAAAGAATTTTCCAAGAAGTGATTAGAATTTAAAAAAGGAAAATCTTACAAAACAACATTTCCAGTGATTCACCAAAATAAAAAAATAGATCATTTTTGATGTTAGACACAAAAAGTTCTGTTATGATTAAATGCTTTTTTTAAGTTTTTGATTTTTCCATCTAATCAAAGTTGAAATTCGAAATAAATCACTATAATAATGGCAATGATTTTCAAAATTTTTGTTGTTCAAATGACCTGACCTGACTATTTTTTTTTCTTTTTATCAATAAACCAAAATTGCACAATCTAAGACGCAGATCAGAAAATCGTTAACACTTTTCTTGCAGAACTACTAATTAACGAATCGATAAACTTACCTCATTTACATCCAACTACAAAAACCGAGAAAGAATAGATTTTACCTTATATTTAGAATGTTATGTTACAACTACAAAACACATGGTTTATAATTTTAAACCTAGAATGTTGCAGCGCGTGCGTGGAGTCCGTGCCAAAAATTGCCCATCAAAAATACCAAAAACTCCCTTTTGATTTAATTTAAAGTAGTTTTCCTCTTCTTAAAGCAATTAAATCGATGCCAGTGGGAGTCAAAATTGCGAAAATTTTGAATTTCATTTCCACGAGTTTTCGTGCTGATTTTATTGTTTGCATCAAGGTTAAAAAACGAGTAATTAAGGTAAATATAGACAATGACAAGCGCACCTCATGGTTTCGCATATTGTGATAATATTTCGTTGCAAAAATAGACGTAATAAAACAAATTATTGGCAATCATGAATCCCAGTCGTGTTTCAATTAGGCGAAATAAAAACATGGTTTAGTTTGTGGAAACTGTGTTTATTTTTAATTCAAATACTTAATACAATGTCTATTTTTATATTACAATAAAAAATAGAATTTCGTTAATGATGGTGAAAATGATAAATTGGCACAAAAAAATCTTAAGAGTAGAGGGTCCCAACATTGATAAAATTCGCATCGCAAAGTTTCCAAGGCGTGGGCGGAAGGGCCAAAGAGTCGACATTTTTTCGAAAAAAGCAAATTTTATTCACAATCTTGAAATTTTAACTGAAAAAATTTATTATATTGGCAAATTTTCAAGCAGATAGTTAAAAATTCACTAGGTTGATTTCACAAATTATCTCAATTTTCAATTTCAAGATCTTGAAACACTTTTTCCTAAATTTCATATTTTTAAAAAAGCGCTAGATTAATTCAAAGTTTCAAAAGACTACTTAAAATTAGTTTCTTTGAAATCTATTTCAAGTTTTTTTGAGTTTTTTTCAAGGTTTTGAGTTTACAGTGCAGAATTTTCCAATAGGCGATTAGAATTTGGAAAATGAAAATTTTAAAAAGCACACTTTTTTGACAATTTTTTCATCTCGAGACATGATATTTAGTTTTAGTAAGTTTTCAGCTTTTTATATGATAACACACTAAATTAAAATTTGAAATCTTTTACTGTCTGTTTCTCTTTTCTATCCTGCAGCGGAATAATAGAAAACAAATAAAAAAAATTGAGAAAAAATTACTAGTAGAAACTTTCGCTTCCAGATGATATTTTATCGATTATCTATTTGTAGAATTTTCCGGAAATTTTTACAGATAAATGGAAAGATTTTGAAAATTTAACAAAAATTGAGTTGGTTAAAATTCGAATATTTAAGATTAAAAAAAACAAGAATTTTTATTTTTCTCCAAGATTTCGATTAAAGTTTTTAAATTGTCACCAATTATCTCAGTTTTTTACCTCAATTTCAAGATCTTGAAACTTT